TAATAATAATAATAATAATAATAATAATAACCCCCATTTTAATGCTAAGGCTCTGCTGAGCAGGAATGTGTTTGATCTGTGGCAGTGCACACCTTGGGAGGAGAATCAGAAACAAAGGAATTAAGTGGCACAAGTAAACGTCCAATTCTGTGAGGGAGTAAGGGAAATGCCACATTGTACACGAGAACCTGAGATACATTCCTTCAGCTTTTATCAGAATACAACTTCCTCTGGGCTGAAAAAAATATAAACCATCTGTCAAACCCTTGAATGAAATCAAAGGCATGGACAGCTTAGAGGGCTCAGTGGAACAGTTTAAGTATTAAATCATGCATCTCCTTTATTATGATAAAATAACTTTTGTGTCAATGTTTTACCAGTGAAACTAAAGACTTCAGGACTCCATGAAAGTCCTGGCTCTGAGTCTATTCAGACACCTCTGGCACTCCATTGTGGCCCTGACCAATACCCACCTTCAAAGGGGCATTTCGCCCAGTGAACCTCCAAAATCACAACTGACACGATGAATTCTGGCCAGATTTTTGTGATGCAGTGCCAGGGAAGAGGCAAGCTCGACCTAAAGTCATCTCATTTGTGTTACTGTGCTTAAGGTAAATTTAGTTTATCCCCTTTTCCTAAAATCTGCCCCATTTCCGGGCAGGTGTAAACACACCCGGCTTCCAGCAAGCTGCTGTCATTCCCAAAAACCAAAGCAGGCCAGGCTGCTCAGTGACAACTGTACACATTCCAAAGGCAGTCCCTAACTGGAATACTGACACACAGCTGCAGGTAGACTTCAGAAATGGGGCATTTCAGTAGGTGAGCAGGAATCCCACCGGGATGGGGTTGCAGCACGTTCACGACACTATTTACCGAGCTCCACAAACAGAACATGACCAAAATGTGTCAGTTTAATGAGCTCTGTCCTGACAGGACCACGTTTGGGATTAATATTTGCGTTCTTCTTTTAAATGGAGCAGTAAACAAGAACATGAATTCATAGTCACACCCTCATTCTTTCCAAGGTGGAAAAGTGATAATGAAGTTTAAATGACCAGTTTGTGTCTGTCCCTATAACCACTCCAGACAAGCAGCATGGACTGCCTTTTTGTTGCAACTCAACAAGGAATTATTTGTGGCAGAGGCCACTAATTTCAGCATATTAATCAGGGGGCCCCTCTCGCCTGTAATTGGATGCCCCCAAGTGAAGAGTGTGGCATCATTGTCAGCCTCCATCGCCTCATCTTGCGCTATTGAGCGCTCAGGAACAAGGGGGCTTCGGTGAGATGAATTAGACCTGACACAGCCACAATGGGGTAGGGGGCCCCATCAATTGAAGCACACATCCCCAGTAGCCTATCTGAGACTTCATCCAAAAAGAATAAACAACTTCAGCGTTGTTAAAAAGAGAGAGAGAGAGAGAGAGAGGAGGGGGAGGAGAGAGAAGAATGCCAGCCACCCTGAAGGGAGGACAAAGCAGGCATATAGGCGCTGCAGCGCTTTAAAAAAAATTCCTAACAAGGCGAGTCACCCCTTTTCCTTTTTAAATGGAGCAGCAATTCCATCCGTCTGGAGAGCTGGGGGCTATGAATGAAAATCTTTTCATTGAGGCAAATCAAAACTGCGAACATAAATCACTTGCTGCAAGATGCAACAGGTTCCAACTGGTCACATACCTTGAGACTTCCAATTTTATAAAGGCCGGAGAATGGGAGGATTGTAACGCGCTTGTTTCAAAGGGGGGACCTTTCTTTCTCCGTCAGCAATGACAATAATAATAGCAATAATAATAATAATAATAATAAAGAGGAGCCTGGTATGTTTTGATAACCAGAGGAACATAATGAAATGCTGAAACTCCAATATTTGTTGCTATTCATTGTTATGCTTGTATAGAGCTGCAGTTCTCCCTCAACACTGGTCTTAACTTGGGCCAAAAGAGGCCTGCTTCCTTTTGAGCTCTCCCTGCCTTGCTCGGCCATGCCAAAGCCCCATTCATTAAGCTCAATTATGTGTTAACTTCAAACAACCCCTGGTAATTTTTTTCTTTTTTCCTTTTTTTTTTTTCTTCTTTTTTCTTTTTTTTTTTTTTTTTTTTTTCTTTTTCTCCCGAACCTACCACAGCACAAAGACATCCTTTGGTGAAAATGGATTTTTCAAAACCAAACCAAATCAAACAAATCCACTTCTACTAGCCAGACAACTGAAGAGGGAGCTTAAAAGGAATTCCCCTCAACTTCACCTTGCAGCGTAACCTCCTCTTTCTGGAGCAAACACATACAGCACTCATCTGCAAACACTTCCACAGCCTTCACCTTGTTAAGCCAACTGGCCAAGGCTTTATTTTCTAAGCAAGCATTGTTCTGCAGTCTCTTCTTAGGAGAACCTCCTTTACAGAAGAGGACACAGGCAAAGGATAGACTTGCACTTGCCCCTGAGGCCACTTAAGCGAGTGTCAGTGTTTCCAGTGGACTTTGGATTGGGCCCCACAGCATCCAGGCAGCACAACGCGTTTGCAGTCCACCTCGGTTCATTTTGGCAAGGGGAAACACAACACAACCCAGCAACAGCAAAGCAAAGTCCAGATGCTGCTTAAGCCACATGTGATCTTCACTAGCCAACAAAGGAGGCGTGAGGAAAGCAAAAAGGTAAGAGGAATTCCTGACATCCAAAAATAACAGTTAAAACCACAGAGCCTGGTGGCAGCCTTCCTGAGCGCTGCTTCCCCAGGCAATACTCCCAGCTTCAGTAGGGAGCTGAAGAGGGCCCCAACTCTGGTGAGCTCAGCACTGGGGTTTTTTTTTCTTTTGTAAAAAGCTAAGTAAAACTCCCAGAACATGGTTCTCATTTACTGATCCATTCTCCAGCTGTGGTGTGTAGCAATGTTAAATAAGGGCTCTGGATGTGCTTCCTAAAAGAAACATAACAACACCGACAGTAGATCAAAGTACTGGACTCTTAGCGAGTCTCCAACCTTTGAACTACCCTTGTTTTCATCCCTGTCATTGCCAACACAACAACCTAGGTTAAACATCCCCATATCCAAAGGGGAGGCCAGGTAGCTGCTCCTTTTAGCTAAAGGCCGAGGAAGCTTCACACTTAGCAAACCACACGCTCAGAGTCGCTGCAGCCTTATCTGGCAGGACCTGGCAGAGTTACATTTGAGAGTTACAACGGAGAGTTACAATTGATTTTCC